ATCTAACTACTAATTCTATTCGGCCAGGCAAGATAGTTAATTAAAAAAATAAAAACTTGTTGTCTTGCTGTCCCATGGGAGAAGAATGATGGATTTTGGTCCAGCTCCATTGTGAGTACTTGTGTTGTCGGCGGCTTCAATCCAGCAGCTCTGGATCCTATGTCTGTCTATGAGGCGCCAAGTTGGACAAAAGTTGGATAAAACAAGCCAGATCATGAAAAAAAAAAACTCTGTGCGGCTTTTAAAAACCGAACATCACTGTAGCTGTGGTGTAGATAAGCTCATTGGTCTCAGTTATGTCTTTAGTAGGGATAGTACCTAAGCACAACAAGCTGTCGATTCCTGAGGCTCTAGAAACTGCCAAACAAAGACTCACCACCCTGGCCACCCGCCTAAAGAGATATAAGGGAGAAGCAGAAGTCAGGGGAATAAACCAGATGTTCTCCACCAACCCATCTAAAGTCTACTCACAGTGGCAGGGTAATAATAAAAGATCAGATTCACCCAGGGCTGAGACTGAACAGTACTGGAGGAACATATGGGAGAAGGAGGCATCCCACAACACCAGTGCTCAGTGGCTAGTGGATCTAAGAACAGATCACAGCAATTTCCCAGAACAAGAACCAGTAACCGTTACAACAGCAGGCGACCAAGAAAGAGCGGCAGGTATGAAGAGTTGGACAGCATCAGGCCCTGACATGACACCTACTGGCTGAAAAAACTAACCGCACTACATGTACACCTGGCAGCACAAATGAACCAACAGCTCATGGATGGGACCCACCCAGAATGGTTAACCCAAGGACGGAAAATTCTGATCATGAAGGATCCCCAGAAGGTAACAATCCCATCCAACTACCAGCCAATAACTTGCCTCTGTGTAGTGGTACCGAGTGATCCAAATTGGTAACTGCACTTTAAAAGTGCAAATTTAATGTAAGGTTGCAATAATTTCCCTGGAAAGTTGCCTTGAAGGCACACAGGCCCGCTAAAGATTAGGCTTGAGACAATCTCACCAGATTCAATGATTTTATTACAGTATTGGAACAAAGCAATTTAAAACCAATCACACATTAAAATAACAGTCATAGCTCAACTCCAGGATGGCAGTGTAAATCAGGGTAGTGACCTACAAAAGAACACAGCAAAAAAAAACAAACAAAAAGAAAATCGTGCACCAAACCAAAAGGAGTACCACCACCCGGAAAGTCCACCACCAACTCCAGGAGCTGGCCGTTTCTGTCAAAATAAAAAGACAGTCAAATCAAACATTTCATATTAAAAAACATTCAGTTCACAAAAATCAAGCAGCAGTAGTTTCAATAAAGTCAGTTTGGGGATGAACCCCCATGCCGCAGCAGACACTGCACAAAGATTCACAAGATGAATCGGTACATGCTAGTCACAGACCGGCCGAATCAGTCACACTGGACGAGAGACAGGAAGCAGCTTCACGCTGACCAGGACGGCGGGCATGGAGCCGACAGCCAAAGTAACAGGCAGCCAGCGACTGACCTCTACAGGCGGACTGCCGGACGGAAACAGCAGAAAAAACAGCCGGCCAAGGACAAGCAGCAGCGTCTCTGAGCTCTATGTAGTGCCTCTGGCAAGGAGAAGAATCAGGCAGCTTGTATGGGACACCACAAGAAGGCTTGATCAGTGCTTAGTTTAAAGCGCATCATTCGAGCGTGCATCCGTATGCAGCTGGCGTGCTGCGCCAGCAAACACCGAGGTCTGAACCGGAAGGACAACATGATGACCAGGTGAGGGAGGGCCCTTTATATACAGACAGCGCCACGACCAATTGAATCGGCACTTGTATGGTGCGTTCAAAGCCCGCAGGGCATACTGCCACATCTGTACCACATGGAAGCTCCTGTCAGGCATCATAGCGGCTAAGATGAGTAGGCACATTGCTCAATAAATGCACTCTTCCTAGAAGGGACTAGGCAGTAACACCAGAGGAGCCAAGAACCAGCTAATGGTGGATAGAGCAGACACTCGAGACTGTAAGACCAGGCAGACAAATCTGTGCACTGCCTGGATTGACTATAAGAAAGCCTACGATTCAATGCCACATACATGGACACTGGAATGCTTGGAAATGTACAAGATTAACAGGACACTAATAGCCTTCATCAAGAACTCAATGAAACTGTGGAAAACAAGTCTGGAAGCCACGGCAAAGCCAATTGCACAAGTCACCATCAAGTGCGGCATATACCAGGGCAATGCACTATCCCCACTGCTGTCCTGCATAGGCCTGAACCCCCTCAGCCAGATCATCAAGACTTGCTGTGGATACTAATTCTGAAGCGGAACAATCATCAGTCACCTCCTCTACATGGATGACATCAAGCTGTATGCCAGGAGTGAGCAAGACATCGACTCACTGATCCACACTAGCAGGATCTACAGCAATGACATTGGAATCTCATTTGGACTGGACAAGTGCGGTAGCATGGTCTCAAAGAGATGGAAGATGATCAGAACTGGGGGGGTTGAACTACCAGAAGTCCACATTACAGATTTTCAAGACAGCTACAAATACCTTAGGGTGCCACAGGCTATCGAAAACCACGAGGAGACAGCAAGAAAGACTGCCACAGCCAAATATCTACAAAGAGTAAGGTAGGTCCTGAAAAGTCAGCTGAATGGGAAAAACAAGATCCAAGCCATCAACACATATGCCCTGCCAGTCATCAGATACCCCGGTGGTATAATAAACTGGCCAAAGGATGAGATAGAGGCTACTGACATCAAGACGAGAAAGCTCCTCACAATGCATGGAGAATTTCACCCTAAATCCAGCACCCTAAGACTGTATACCAAGCGTAGCGAGGGAGACCGAGGGCTAGTGAGTGTCAAGACCACTGTCCAGGATGAAACAGCTAAGATCCAGGAGTACATCAGAATATTGCTCTGTGTACTACACAGCACCTTCTTCAGGATACAATGTTTGAACCATTGGATGCACATGGTCCTCCAGAATGGTTCGGTAGTCCTTGGCAGTGACACACCCATCTAGCACAAGTATGAAGCCAAGGGATCCACCCCCATGCTTCACTCTGAGCATGCAACAGTCTGGGCGGTACGCTTTTTGGGGCTTCTCCACACCGTAACTCTCTCGGATGTAGGGAAAACAGTAAAGGTGGACTCATCAGAGAACAATACATGTTTCACATTGTCCACAGCCCAAGATTTGCGCTCCTTGCACCATTGAAACTGACGTTTGGCATTGGCACGAGTTACCAAAGGTTTGGCTATAGCAGCCCGGCCGTGTAAATTGAGCCTGTGGAGCTCTCGACTGACATGCACCAACAATTTGTCCTATTTTGAACTCTGGTATGTCACCCATAATGTTGTGTGCATTGCAATATTTTGAGCAAAACTGTGCTCTTACCCTGCTAATTGGACCTTCAAACTCTGCTCTTATTGGTTCAATGTGATGTGCAATCAATGGAGATTTTTTTAATTTTTTTATTTATCCTTTATTTAACCAGGTAATACCCATTGAGATTAAAGATCTCTTTTGCAAGGGAGACCTGGCCAAGGTAGGCATCTGTTGGGATCCAGAGGCTTGCCCTCCAGAGGGCGCCGAGGATCCCTTCCTGTTTGTATGTTTTTCTGTTGGGATCTGGGGTACTGTTGGGATCTGGAGTTTCTGCCACCTGTCTCCAGCAGAGAGCGCCATGGGTCTCATAAGCTACATAAGCAGCGGCCAGACCTGTCTTCAGCGCCGGAGTGTTGACCAGTTTTGGTTAGCAAAACCTGAGCCTCAGCTTGAATCTAGAATCTCTGTCTGCTCTAGAGAGCACCCTGATTCTTCTCTGCTCATAGGAAAACCTGATCGAAGCCTGCAGCTCTGGAGGAGCTCATGTTTGGAAACCTGCCTGCCTGCCCAGAAAAGCCAAACCTGAAGATCCTCAGTCTGTGTCTCCCGGTTAGTTCTCAGGAGAGAACTAGAAGAACAACTCAAGGTCTGAACCTCGCTAGCCTGAAGCTAAGCTCAGCCGCTGCTAAGCTCTCTGCTAATTCCACAGTCTCTGGACCCAACCGGTTCCCTCTCTCCACCGAACTGTCTGAACCTCATCAGGTACAAATCAGAATCAAAGCTCTGTCAAGACATCACTGCTGCCTAGCTAACCAAACAATACATCTCTGCAGATTACTCTGTGAAACCAGTTCCCGGACCAGTACCAGAACCAGTGCAATCATTTACTCTGTGTGTGTTTATCAAATAAACTGTTAAACTTTTACTCTGTTTCGTGTGGTGTTCTGCATGTGG